GTAAGTAATGACAATAAAGTTAAGACAACGTCATGGTCTCTCTCAGCAAATATAATTGAGGCCTAAGTTTATTCAACTTATTTGTATAATTCACATAAACCTTGGGACTGGCCTTTCATGTGTAAAAGCTCTTCAAAACTATCAAATAATTATCACAATTCGTATTATAAACAAAAAAGTATCTTTGAACTTAAACTTCAATATTAAAAAGTGAATTATATTAATAGCAAATCCGATAGTTTTACTCAAAAATATCGGCAAAACAGTGTTCTTTTGAAAGTGAAGCAAAAATATTTCACAAACTTTTTCATTAACTTTAAAAGTCGAGTAAACCTTTGATTTTCGTCGGAAACAAGTCTTTTAGAAAATTGTTTTGTGTTTTCAATTGTATCTCTACTCACAAACAATACTTTGGTTTAGATTTCATTCAATTTGCAAAACTACTTTTGGGACCAAACTATGAAATTAAAGATTTGTTTCACTTTGGAGTCTTTGAAGAGTTTTTGCCACAAAAACCACTTCTCATAACGAGTTTGTGTTGTCTCTCGACCTTCACCTCTAACTCCGAGAAAAATATTTTTCTTTTCACTAAAACCTTAACGAGTATTACGATTACGAACTCTCTTTCGTATAAAATGTTATGTTTCACTCAATTTATACTAACTTTTATTCATAAAACAAAAAATAATTTTCTTAAATATCTGATAATTTAAATTAGACAGAGAACAGAGTCATAAAACATTAAAATTAGTCAAACACTCAGTTTTAAATCATAATAAATGATATTTCAAATCAGATAAACTTCTCAATGCTTTAATGAGATATTTATGAGACATTTATATTTTGCATTTGAATACTTGTAGGAAATCATTACTACTTACTATACAAAGTATTTAAACAAATAAAGAGTTAAGAATTGAAGAAAAGTGAGAAATAATATCAATAATAAATATCCGCAAAAGTGTCGGAGACTTATGATAAGTGACTGTTTTGTAAGCTATAACTGAGTGGTCCTTTTGGGTGCAAAACAGTGCAAACCTTATGTTAATAACACCTCAAAGGCATGACTTATACACGACTTGTCTTCAGAAATAGAGTTCAAAAAAATTTGAGAGAAGAGTGAGAGAGAAGTACTGAGAAGACGAGACAACTTCTTCAAAGTATTTGAAAAGTTGTTGTGAAGTGATCTCTCTCTCAGTATACCATTGAAATACACGTGAAATGTATTTTTGGCTTAACTTTGAAAAACTTCTCTTCACTTCTAAATGAGTGGCGAAACTTCCGCATTGTTTTTGCGCTAATATTGAATCCAATTATATATGTTTTATTAGAAATTCTATAGTAATATATAGTGACAGAAAAAAGTGTAAAATATGCTATCATTATCGGAAGTGGTGTTTGCGATCATAAACTTTTATCTCATAATTGTCTGCGTCTGCTGTCACCCAACACCAGGTCTGCTATGCTATGGACCACTTCCTGGCGTTCAATACAAATACAGTTACAAAAGTGAAACCATTATGAATAACAACGACTATAGAGAGCCGACTGGTTTTGGGGTCGACTCCCAAATCACTGTCGAGAATATATGGCAGGACTCGAGTGGGTATCTCTTATCAGTGGTCATCGATTCGTGTCAATTCAAGTCCAGAACTGGCGCTAAGTTTGCCGATGGGAACCAAATTAAGGACTGGAATCACCCACTCTTCGCCTACATTGACAGCACCGGTGATGTCAAGCAAGTAGTTATCCATCAGTCGGAAGTGATCACTGCTTCCAACCTTAAGAAGTCATTGTTAGAGCACTTGAGGAGTAAAGCACCGGAAAAAGTTTGTTTCAAATTGAAGGCAAATGTTATATATTTTTGTATAAAACTTATTATTTGTTTGATTAGACATCTTATGAATGGATTAGAGATGGGCTCACAATCAGTAAGAAGTCATTGAATACAAACACGGACTACAAGTCCATTCTGTCGCCCGACGTGTCGGACGAGTGGCAGACGTCGGCGCAGTTGGCCAGCGATCACCCGATCGTCGAGAGCGCCAACGGCTGGCAAAACGTGACCCTCCAGTCCAGGATCTACTCGTTCGCTCATTCAAAGCTTTACAATAGGTTTATCTCATAATAATTTTTATTGAAATGTATTCTCAATTTTATTTATCATTTTTTCTATAGTTTTACTCTAAAGTTATTATCGGAAGCAAAGTCTTCGAGAGAAAAAATTACCGCAAATTCCATATCAGATGTCATTAAAAGTTTAGGCGAAACATACATTCATACGGAACCCATATTAAGGCCAGAGATGGAAACGTGTCATAACTGCCAATCACTTCAGAATATAGTGAAAGAGAATGAGAATTCAATAAAAGGCGAATCCATTGCATCGATTCCGATGACTATTTCATACCTCAAACTCATTGATAGAGTCCGAAGTGCGGGTCCCGGAGCCTCCAAAGAGGATATCATTAAATTACTTAAGGCTTACAAAAAGAAGAAAGATGTCGTCTCATCCATTCTCGACATATTGGCCGGTATTTTGATACAAAGTTTGCAAGTGTTATAAGTAAGCGACTAATTATTGACTTTTGATGGACAGGCGCACGAACTGAGCAGTCATTGGCCGCCGCTTTAGAATATCTCAATCTCCAGAAGAGTGAAGACTTGGATTTTGGCGAAAGATTTTTGGTTCAATTGGCCGCTTCTGTGATGACCGCCTCTCAGATGGAGTCCATATCTTCGGCCACTGTTTCGGCGGACGAAGTGATCGAAGAAATACTCAAACAAACGAAGACAAAGTGGAAGAATGAGAAACTAAAGCAAACGGCTTTCCTAATACTCGCTACACTATTGAGAGCACATGTATTCGACCCGAAAAGTGTTGAAAACAAAAATACTGAAATCATTGTAAAGATTATTAAATCTTGTGCTAAATATTTCTCATCTAATCTTAACATTCATTTCAGCCAAAAGTAATCAAACATTTGACAACAGAATTAGATTTGTGTAAAGAGACTGACTGTCGAGTAGTTTTACTTCACGCCATCGGCAACACTGGTCTCATCAGAGATGGTGTCTATCAATCGATAAAGAAGTACTCACTCACGAGTGGTAAACGCGAATCGATAGCCGCTATGAAAGCTTTGCGCGAATGTCTTCAGTTGTCCGGAAGTAATGATAAGTTGACGCCTCGACTGAGAAGTCTATTACTTCGTGTGGTCTACGATCCGGAACAGGAGACCACTTCCCGAGTGATAGCCGCAGAACTCATCTCAATATATCTTAACGATGAAAAGACCGCCAAAGAGCTGATCAAACATTTGCCGACTTTCGGTAATACACACATGAGTTGACTATAATTTATTGAATAATGAATAATACTTTCTCTAAACCTGAAGGCAATAACGAGTTGGCGACCATCATCTGGAACCGGGCTTTCTCTTCAGCCCCACTGATCCCTACGGCTCACCACAACTGGCACTTGCATTCAACCACTTTGAACGGGTCGTCCGCTTCATTCACCCGAGTAATGGGCGGAACTAAGAGTACAAACGCTTCCTATCGGATACTTATGGAGCTCTTGAATAAAGGAAAACTTCTGAAAGAGTCGGCATTTGATGTCGAGCTCTCTTCGCCCAACGGTTACTCTCAGCACTTGATTACTGTCGGGATGTTTGCCAGAGGTCTACAATCATTTGCCGGTCAGTTCTTGTATTTCTGATTATTATCCAGAATTTAATAAGACTTTGAATGAAATTATAGGCGATTCAGAGGCGGAAACCCCTACTAATGAAGTGGAAGAAGAACAGACGATGGCTGGAATGTCACTGAGAATAATGAACATCCAGTTGAGGCCATTCACGTTCTTCACGGGCACGGGAGAGCTTATGGGACACGTCTGGTCGGGAACGGCATCTGAGCCGACGACCGTATTTCAGGGAAACTTCTTATTAGCCGATTACTGGTCAACGCATCCGCTGATCAATGGACTGATTGTCGAACAAAGTCTTCGGGGAATCCTATCACTAGATCTGAGCGGAGAAATACAGATCTCTTTGTGGAATCGAAACTCTCATTCAGTGGTTCACACGAAAGGCTCTCTTCTGTTTCAGGGCTCGCAGACTGTCCTCACGTCCGACCACAAGACCTCCGCATCCAAACAGTTCTCGTTTGGAGGGAACACTCAATTGGATTTCATCACTGATTTGGACTTCTATTCGAGTCCTTTCAAGATGTGTATGCAAATCGATAGACCAGAGTTCACATTCAGGTAGGCCTTCCCTTTGCATATAACTTTCTATATAAGGTTAAGGCATGACATTAATGTTTGATGTATTGATAGGCATAACACCCGAAAGTACGAACGGGTCAACAGCGAGAACCTTCACAAACGTATTCATCGGCGGATATTTAGTATACCCGC